ACTTGGAAATTTGTATGGCCACAGGCACAGTCTAATATAGCTGTGTTGTGCACTGTGAAAAAAAAAAAAAAAAGGGTGAGCATCTGCGAGTTTACAAAGATTATTCTGTGAGAAGATTACTCTGTGAAAGGAACTGATATTTTAAGCAATGAGCATAACTTGTAAATAAATTGATCAAGAGTAAATATGTTGAATTATTCTGTAGGATGCACTTAAAAAATGTTCTTGTCACAAGGGTCAGTACTTGGTTAAGATGCTTCAAAAATCTACATTCGTGGTAATTTCTCTTTTACTTGCAATTTTCACACTTCATTTGATAGTAATTTTTGAAATTATGCCCTGAAGCCTCTCTGAGCATATAATTTAAAAGTTGTGCTTTTATTAAAAGAGAAAACCTATTTTTTTCATTAAATCCTATTTTCATTCTTAAATTGTTATGGAGTTGTAAGAATCCATTTAAGAACTTGGATGAAGTAAAAGTTTGAGGGAATACTTTAGACACTTTAGCCTGTGATTATTTTTATTTCTTACAAATACAGGATATGTAGCATACTGTGATAAAATTATTGAAGCTTTTTCTAGGAAACTTGTGAATTTTTCAGTATGGCCGTAGTGTGTTTGGGTTTCCTGTTTGGTTTCTTTCTTTTTTTTTTTTTTATATGTGGAAAATATGAACTATTTTCGATTGATACAAGCACGGGTAAGTAGAAAGTGCAAAAATCAAAGATTAAAGTACTCAAGGAGATCAACACTGGATGATTAGGGGAGAAAAAAAGCAAGTTGTAAGAAAGGAATTTAACCAGCAAAAGCAAGAGATCACTTGGTGTGTTAACAGCAGGAGGTAGCTGCACAGAGGCATTAAATCTGGGCTGGGAAATGGGAGTTGAAATGCATGTGAAAGTTCATTTTCCAAGGGAGCCAGCACTCTTTGTACTGAGTCCAGCAAATTGTCCGTGGCTTGAGTATGTGATTGAAGTTAAAACTACAGCTTAAAATGAAGCAGTGGTTTGACATTACTGAAATGGAAAATGTCTTCTGGTTTCTGCGCCTTCTGTCTTCCCTTCATTCTGTGTTCCTGGCCCCACACAGCTTCTTCATGCATCCTTGCACAGCCTGTGATGCTGGTCCCATACTAGCCCAGAGAGAGCCATAATTGCAAAGCCTTAGCAGGAGGGTCCACTGAATAGAGCAGAATTTTCTGTTCATAAGCAGGAATAGATAGAGGGAACTAGTTTTGTTGATGGCAAGCTGTTGGAGCAGCTCAGCTGTGACTTGCAACTGCATCCTTAAGGTATGTGAGCAGAACATTCAGCAAAGCTGTCCTGCTCTTTACTGTCTTCCACCTGTTCATTGTTCTCAGAAATTATACAATAAGTATTCACTTCAAGAACTGTAACTAAACAAAAAAATTCCAAACAGTTCTTTTGAATACATTGAAGGAAGTCTTGCAGTTGAAATTCAATGAGAAAGCTTTTAATAAAACTTAAATTTACTCTGCTCTGATATTGTCAATTTTAAGAGTAAGTTGATTGTTAGAGTTTTTTAAATACTGAATTTATAACTTTATTCTACAGCTATGAATTCCATTTAACTTTTTTATGTAAAAGGATGCTGGTAGTCAGTTGGCTGGACTGAAGTTACTTGCTGATTCACTAAGCTCAGCTGGTGGAGTGTGGTGGTGATACTCAGAATATGAGTCCAAAATACAAATGCTGAGTGTGCATATATTTCCATTTTACACTTGTTTAGTTCTTATCTGTCCTGTATGGTGGAACAAAAACATCATAAGTAACAGCAGGTCTTTATGGCAAAATTTTCAATAGAAGCTGAAATTTCCAATGACTTATCCTTCCCTGTTTGCTGTCTTGTTTTAAATACCTAAAGAATTCTGACATCCTCTACCCCCTCTCTCATGTCATTCTACCCTGTTGGTGCCATAATTTCATTACACGTTTCATTGTTAGCATTGTAAACCTTTGTTTGTTTGTTTGTTTGTTTGTTTGTTTTTTCCTATGGATCTACTGTTCTTTTGCTAGCTTTTTGCAATTGTGCTTAGTGGTATCATTTAATCTCAGGGTCCATAATCCTAGATACGCATCCTGCAAGTGTTGCAGAACTCAGTCCTGGGTCCTGAAATATTAGATAAATAAAGAATAATAAGCTGAAGGATGGGGGTGATAAAATATATAAGCTTTTGGAGTAGTGTATTAATATAAAACCTGTACTGGTAATCGAAGGGAGTGAAAATGCTCTGAGATTTGTGGCCACCTTTGCTTTATAAAATGTAATCTAGATCTTACATGGATAAGGTAGTAAGAAATGGAATAATTTAGAATGAGTCACAAGCAACTGATAAATTGAAAGCAAGCAGCCAGAAAGATTGGAAAAAAGGAGTTGGTGGCAAGATGTGTGACCTAGTTGGCTGCAGTTATAATGGAAGAAATACAGACAACTGAAATTTTTCAGTTGAAGAACAGAAAAAAGAAAGAAGTGAAGGTTAGGGATACTAAGTTTTGCCTTCAAAGGGTGGATGCTCTTCCAGAAGAGGGATTGCCGTGTTGAGCATGGACTGGTGATTTAGTGTGGTTTCATGTTTCACTTTATTCTATCTTAATAAAAAATCTTCAATTTGAATGCATGCATCTGAAGCTTTTCATTCTGTTTGTAAAGACAACTACACCACAATAGAAAATTGTAAGACAAAGTTTTGTTTTCTGAATTAAAAAGATCAACAACACTAACTTTGAGATTAGATTAAGATTTGCTGCTCTAAAAACTTACGTACTTACCTATTTTATATACATATCCTCAGGAAAAGGTTGACTATTACAGGTGAGATTTGATGCTCTAAGCAAATTTCTGTTCCTTTTGAGAAAAGACTACCAAAGTTACAAAGAAAAAATGTCTCATTTGCTACAGCATGAAAACACCAGTATGCATTGCTGAATTTTCAGTCATGCATATATGTAATTTAGTTTTCCTGCTTTGGAGAAATCCCGATACCGAGCACATGGAAGTTCACAAATTTATTCTGGAAAAGTGAACCCTTTTGTTTTAGATTAAAGCTTTGGCAAAGATTTTTAACAAAACTTGCATCTTTCTCTACTCTTCTGGCAAATAATATGGAACTATTTTCAGCTATTCAGATTTCTTGGAGTACACTTAAAGAGGTAAAGGTATTTAGACTACTTCAGGCATCTAGCTTACCTTTTAACATTTTGATGCTAGTACAGCTTGTCTTGTCAGTGATGGGAAATTACTTCAAGCTGTGAGGATTTTTTTGGTTAGACATCTGCTTTTCTAGTTTGTTTTTTTCTTTTGGACACAGTGTGTCTGAACATCTTTATATGAGGGAATTGATAGTGCTGCAAGGATTAAAAGAGGTAGACTGGCAAGTAGAAGTTTTATGGCAGAATTTCATGGTTCTCAGCCTTTGGCTACAGTGCAACTAAAAGCTATGAATCAATTATGCTGTATTCAGTTGTGTTGAAAATCTGTTTTCTTCTACAGTTATTGCATACTCTCTCTAGTAAGGCTTAACCTGTTACTCTGCATATAGAGCTATGACCACAGACATGCTCTGTAAATAGGAGACAGATGATCCCTGTAAATTGGAGACCTTACCATGACGAATGTGGTTGTCAATTATTTTAAAAATGCATGTTTATTGATATTCAAACTGATTCAGAAAAATACGTTTCTTGAGTAAGATCTGGCTTGTCACAACAGAAGGAAACTAGGTTTTCCTTTCTCTCCCTTACACTGAAATACTTTACTGCTGTGACTTGCTTATTTTCTGTTATATGCATGCGCTCTTAGATAGTTCCTGGGTGTTGGAATTGTTGATAAACTTTTAACAAATCATTCAGTGTTCCTTGTGTTTCTGTTTGTTCCTAGGTTGTAAATAAAAGGGAATTATGTTCTATACTCAGTACTTTCTCCCAAAAGTGGATTTCTTACAGCATGTTCACTCTAGACCTAGTGTCTGCTACAGTGTAGTATGAGGATATTAAAGAAATGAAATAACTGTTTCTGTGGGACACTATCTGACAATAATACTCATGTTCAGAAACTTTTTAATTTTTTTCAGCCTATATTTTTTTTTCTTCTGCTCCTTTTTATCAACTCTGTAATGTTTTTAAAATTCTCTAATGTATACCACCTTAAAATACACCATCAGATGAATGTTTTTTCTTTCAGTATTTCTTGACTAAAGCAAATAAGTAGCTATTTTCATCGTCCTTTGTAAATAATTCTCCAGTTTCTTAGTAATGTTTGGTGGTTGGGTTTTTTCCTCTGAATTCCATGTAATTTGTCAATATCTGGTATTGAGATGCCTAGGAGAGAATGGAATGCTGCAAATAAGTAATTACCTCTCCTCTTATTACTCAGAGGTTATGATTACTATTGGTGCCCATAGAAAATTTGTATCTAAATTGCTGTCCGCTTGTAGGTATTTTTCATTATTACTGCATCATAGATTCTTATCTGCTGTTTCAGATCTGTGTTTCTAGTATGCATATTGCCAGATGCTGTTTCCTGCATTTCCATGTCCTCATTATTTTCTTAATTCCACGCACATTTCTAAAATCCCCAAAGCTGGTATTTCTCTTGCTATGGCAGGTTATTGAAGTTATCTTGCTTCTTGAGTTTGTTGCCTGTGTGACTCCTGAAAAATAATTTTGCTTTAATATATATCCTTTTTTTTTTCCTGCAAACATTTAATAACTGCTGCTGCTGCTGCTGCCCTGGGGATTGAGTTTTGAGATTCTCAAACTTGTATTAGTTTTTCTGGGTTTGAAAAACCCACTTCCCATTAACTGACTTATTTTATTAAGTGGTTGTCAACACAGAAGCAGCAGTTGCTATGTGTGCATGAATTCGTTCATACATGTATGTATGTTTATGTGTTGTGTATATATGTGTGCATATGTCTACTCATGTATAATGTATTTACCTACAGTTCCATTTAAAACAATGCTATTTACCTGCAGGAAGAGGAAGAAGAAACATACGAGCAAACTCTGGAATTCCGCAGAGGAGGTGATGGCCAGCCGAGACGGTCCACAAGACCTACTCAACAATTTTATCAACCCCCAAGAGCTAGAAACTGATGAATAAGAAATAAAAGGTAAATATATAATATATATTTTATTTCTGGATTTAGATTTCAAGAAAAGTTGATCGGGATTGATCTATTCTTCAGTGTTCTTAGTTTTTGTGAAGTTCGTGAGAGAAGTTGGTACAACTTTGTTAGTAGTTGTTTGTGTAAGAACACTCAAATGGTGACTATTTTTAAGAAATAAATTATTGTAATCACCCTTTTGCAAGCAAATAGACAATGATTGCTAAACCTGCAAAGAACTACTGATATTGAATCAGTGTTTCATCATGTAAGTGAAAGTGTTATGACTGTATCTTTTAAGTGTAAAAAAAATAATTGTAGGAATATCGATATATTTATTATAGAAGTTGTTTCGCTGAATTGGGTGGCAGTAGGAAGAGATTTGATGGGGAAGAGGGAAGGAAATAAAAACACTTTGGGAAGTAGCTTTTTAACTTGGCTTTATGTACAGCTGAGCAAGCTTTTACTTGATCCTTTTTCACCTGAGGCCAACAGCAAGCTTATCTCATTCGTAGAATTATAGAATGGTTAAGGTTGGAAGGGTCCTTAAAAGTCATCAGGTTCTAACCCCCCTGCTCTGAGCAGGGACACCTCACACTAGATCAGGAACTGGACCAGCTGCATCTCTGAAAGAAATGGCTGGCTGTCCCTGTGGACTCAGTATTGTCTTTGTCCAGCGTCCCATATTCTACTTTTTATGAGCCATTTATGTGAATAAATATTCTTTCTGTTGTTTTGCTCAGCATGGAAAGGAAAATTTGCAACACTAAAATCAAATGTCTGTGAGCTCACCATAGAATAGGGAGGTGCAAGGCTTAAGAATATTTACTTTGAATCTTGAGGATGTACTTGCACCTATGCTTTATTAATTAGCAGAAATTAAAGTATTATATGCCATGCTCAGAAAGTACACCTGATATATACATTCAGTTAATTCTTTTACTTAACAAATCAGGTATGATGTAATGCCTTCATTTTACCTGCGGATCTTCCAAATCCTTGATTTTCAAACGTTTATTAAAAGTCTATCCTGAGTAAAGCAAGCTGTATGAGGTTACATGCTGTTTGGTGTACATGTGCAATGTGTCTTTGTCTTGAATCTGATTTTTATTTTCCCAACTACTTGCCAGTTTACTTTTACTGAGCTCTTTTTAGTTCCTTCCCTTGCTACAGTCCTCCACCTTCAGTTGGCTAAATAAGTGCTGCTGATTTCTGCAGCTTTTGATATTTCTGACATGCAATAACATATGATTTTCCTTTTTTGAACCTATGCTAAAATATTTGTTTCATTTGAGAGAGTACTGTCAATATAAAAACAAAATTTATTTGTGACTCTTGCCAAGGTGAGAATTAATCTATTTTTGCCCATATAATTTAATTTTCTATTTTAAGTAAGTGTATCAATCATTATCAATAAACATGTCATGAGATAATTTATGTAAAAATTATTCTAGCATATGCACTAAGCTGAGTTCTAAATCAGCTTGCTTGGCTCAGAGGAGTGTTGGTGTGATCAGCTGAATGAAATGCACTCAGTGTTGACAGCAGTCAAAACCAGAAGGCTTTTTTGTGTCTTTAGGTAATATTTTTAGTATTTATCTATAAATCTGGAAAACTGTGTTTGACTGGTCAGCTGGGAAATGGGGGAAAAGAGACATCCAGAGAGTGGTAGTAAATCCTGTCTCTCAGGAAGAGTGAATGAATTGTTGACAAGTAATGAACAACCTTTCTGAGGAACAAGTGATTTTTCATTACAGGTTTTCTTATAGCTTGCTTTGAAGATTCTAGGAAGATCTTGGTTTAAATGGACAGCAGTCTCAGTATCAAAACTTACCTGCCATAAAAAATAGTTAGAGCCCTTTCCTTGCCCCAGTACAGACACTGTTGTTTAATGTCAGACATCTCTACGTAAAGGAGGTAGATTCAGGTAGTCAGGTAAATAAACTTTAAAGCATTTTTCAGGAAGTAGCAATAGACTCTTCCCATCCAGGAAATAAAATATCAAGATACATTTTGTAAAATGTATCATGAAGCTGAATATAATTTTACAGTACTTTGCTTTAAAAAGTACATCTTCTACTGATATTTTTAATATATCCTTTTTATTTTTTTTTTCTTAACATAATTTAAAACTCTACCTCAATTGATGAAATTAGGTATTTCCTGTGTCCTCTTTGGGTCCAATCCTTGTTTACTTCAACATATGCTCAAGTTAGAGAGATAATGCCAGTTTGTCCTCCAAAACTGAACTTACTAACCCAGTGCTGTGTACAATTAGTGGCATCTTAAACCTGGTAAATTTTGGCTACTTTTTAAAGTCTAATTCTATTGAAATATTACACACTTTATCTTCTACAATGCAAATAGCAAATACTGTAGGAGTTATACATACCTTAAATAATCATCACTGTAAACAGCAATTCATTATGAGAAAATACAACTTAATGGCTTGATAGGAAGATTCATTCCCTCTCAGTCAAAACATTCAATGCCTTCTTCATTGACTGCCATAACTGGATTGTCTTGAACTTTAATTAAGTGGAAATTATCTCTTAAGTGGCTAAAATGTAGTCATTTAAAATATTTATGTATTTTATATTAAAATTATTTGCTAAATCTGGCTATTCTAATTAGCTGATTTATCCGATTTAGGCTTGTATTTGGAGAATTTTGAGTATGAAGATCAACTACATGTCAGCATAAAATATTGTAAGAGCTATTGGATGTTAATACTGAGAAGAAGGTGTTAAGGTTGAAACTGGTCATAGATTCTTCAAACACTAGGATCACTCAGAAAAAGGAAATTGAGAGGCAAGAGATGCCTTCTATGTAGAGCTTGGGTGGTGCTACTTAAGCAGAGTTAGCTCCTGTATTAGTTCCAGTGAAAACAAACCTTCTTTTTTTGTCTAGAATTTGTAATACGGATTTTTTCCTCTGCCACTTTGTTCTAGTAAATATTTGGAAAACTGAACATCTTATTCCTGTCTCTTCAAAAGTGTGGCATTTGTGGTCATCTCTGAAAAGTGTCAAAAAGTGAGAATTCTTCCTCAATTGAAGAACACTCTATTGCCAGTCTTTTTGAGGATAAAAATATTGTACTGCTGTATCCAGAAGCTTTTTCTTTGTGGTACAGACCAGCTTTCTCCTGCTAGATGTGCTTTCTGAAGCTTATGTCAAATCCATTGTAGCTGGCCTCATTTGCCCTGTTTGATAGGTAAAGTGTTGTGAGGAGGTGGTTATTGTGATACTGTGGTGCACACAACTGTCAAGTATGGCTAATGGCTCCCTGTAGTAAACCTCACGCTACTGTGTATCTTATACTTAGGTTGAATTTTGAAGTTAATTACTTTTGACCTGGTACTGGTTGAAGAGAGTGGGATTAGAAAACAGAAATGAAAATCTATTAAGCTTTTTAAAAAATAAAGTGGAGAATATAATCAGATATTCTCTCATTTTAAGTGTAGGCGGAAAATCAGACATAGCCCTTTTCTAAATTGCTTTCAGCTTACCCAGTCTTGCAGAGCACTGTAGCTTTAATGTCTTGACATATAAAAATTCAGGAATATTGAATGTCAGTTCCTGTAAATGGATTTCTGTACGATTTTTTGCTCCTTTTTATTCCTTAGAGCTTTTGAGAGCATGGCGCGTTGTTCTGTACTTCAAGTTTTTTATAACCTGTTAGATGAAGACATGATTTATAAGGGGAAGTTTTAAGGGATCCAGTGAGACAAAATTTTACCACAACTTTCCACTGAAGGGTACTTTACTTCTTCACCAGGTAATTCATTTGGTAATTGATCACCTTTACTCCCTGAGGGACTAACTCTGTGTTACGTAAAGTAACTGGTGTTTTTGTTTGTTTTTTTTTTCCTGAAAAGAGATAGAGAGCCCTTGTTGATGATTATATTATAAATCAGTATATTCTGTAGAGTTTTCAATATTGTAGCATGTAACGTTTAAAATGTCAAGGTTCCTGGATTTCAAAGGCAACTTAATTCTAGAAGTGAAGTTTGCTGGCCACAGTTGTAATGGGTATGATGAGTACATACCAAAAATGAAACATTAGATCCATACATTAGACACATCGCCTCAGACCAAAAACCTCTTAAACTTATCTGTATAACGTTAAATCACTTGACAGGAAGGACTTAGCATTGGTATAACAATGCAGAAATGAAGCTATACTGCTTCCTGGATTAGTTTTCAGCATAGTCATCAAGTTTGCAAATTTGGAATTAGCAATGGCAAATATCAGCTCTTAATACTGATAAGCCTCCTCACACCTGAGCTTGTGATTCAGTTTTTTAAATCTTGAGTATTTTAAAAGTGGAATTTGAATCCATAGGGTTGTTTAGCTTGCAAAAGGCTCTGGAGAGACCTTTCTGCAACCTTTCAATACTTACAGGGGGCTTATAACAAAGATGGGAATGAAGTTTTTAGTAGGGCCTATAGCAATAGGACAAGAGGTAATGGTTTTAAACAAAAAGAGGAGAGTTTCAGGCTAGATATAAGGAACAAAATTTTTATGATGAGTGTGGCAAAACACTGGAAAATCCCAGAGAGGTTGTACATGCTCCATCTGTGAAAACATTCAGGGTCAGGTTGGATATATGGCTCTGAGCAGCCAGATCTAGTTGGAGATGTTCCTGTCCATGGCATCAGGGTTGAACTGATGACCTTTAGAGATTCCTTCCAACCAAACCATTCTATGATTCTATCCTTCTGAAGAGCTTCTTGCCACTGTGTTCTTCACTTTGGGTATTAAGAACAACTGCTGAAAACTTACAGGAAATCTTGGCTTGGTATTTGTTATGAAGACAGAGTGATACAGTAGTCATGTTAGGATGAATCAACAGTGCTGTGGGGTTGTCAGTACTCAGTATGGTTGCAGCTGACCTAGACATGGTATTTATTAATGTCCAGCTGCTATCTGGAAAACACTAACTTACCAGCGTAGCTTATCAGAGCACTGCAGAGAGAGTCCTTGAACTCCCTTTACGTTGTTC